TTTTATTCATCGTTCATTGATTTTTACATACTTTTGCATTGCATTGTAACATTAGGATAAAATATTGTAGGCTCAGCTGGAACAAGAAACGAGGCGCCAGGAGGAGCTAGAGACGAGGATGGAGGCAGAGCGGCAGAGGATGGAGACAGAGCGGCTGCAGATGTTTGAATATATGAGGGGTGTTTACGCTGCAATCGGTCAACCTCCGCCATCGATGCCAGTCCCTCCTCAACTTGCTCCAAATACTGTTTCAGCCACTGTGAGTCACTTCACAACCTTATAATAACTGTTTATAGTTTATGCAAAATTAATCTTACAAAGATGCCCAGACACTAGAAACTGGAAACTAGAAATAAACTAGAAACTAGAAATAAATTAAGAACTAAAAACTAGAAACTAGAATGATTTATAGTTTACAAACTAGAATGATTTATCTCTTCTCCTTTGTGCAGAATCAATCAGCGGCATCAAATGAGCCTCATGACCCAGTGTGGTCATAGTGGACACCGTGGCCTCCTCAGTGATTACTTGTGATTTTATTTGTATTTGCATTTGTGAATTACTTGTGACTACTCAGTGGACACCATTGCACTCAGTGAATTTTATTTATATTTGTTGTTGTGAATGAACCTACCTGTGATTCTGAAGTTTATTTGCATTTATGTGTTGTCGATATATCTATATGAACTGCCTGTGATGCTTATTGTGAACTATGCGTGATGCCTGTAATGTTTATTTAAGTGGGGTACGTTATACGTAACCGAACCATAAAAACTGAAAATATATGGTCGCTTTGCCGAGTGTTACACTCGACAAAGAGGCCTTTTGCCGAGTGCCAAAGTAAAAACACTCGGCAAAGAGGACACGTGGACAAAATCTGTACAGTCTGGGCCAGTCTTTGTCGAGTGTCCGGGATTTAACACTCAGCAAAGCAGCCATGTTTGCCGAGTGTTTGGGATTTGACACTCGGCAAAGCAGCCATGTTTGCCGAGTGTCAGTGTCTGGACACTCGGCAAATAAGGCCACATTTGCTAAGTGTCAGGGCTGGGGCACTCGGCAAACATGGCTGCTTTGCCGAGTGTCAAATCCCAGACACTCAACAAACGCGCCGTGACAGTCTCCGTGCCGTCACGTTACTTTTTTTTATCGAGCGTCGGTTTCAGCTCTCGGCAAAGTATTTGCCGAGTGCCCGATAAAAAACACTGAGTAAAGAGACGTTTGCCGACACTGTAAATGCCATGTGCTGTTTACCGAGTGTTAGACTCGACAAATCATTTACCGAATGTTTTTTAGATTTTGCCGTGTGCCTAGTAACTGTCGAAGACCGAGACACCACCATCGGCCATAGACGCATAGTAGTTTGTTAACCAGCTCCTAGACCGATGTACTGCTAGCATCTTCACTCTTGAGCGGTTGCTCACTGAGTCACAGACGCCCACATGCCAAATGTATCTGTAGAAGCCCCATCAGTCGATAACTCAATACTAAGGGCGTGCTTGGCACAAACAGCTTCACAAGCAGTTTTTTTTAGTGAAGTTGAGCTATTTTGAAAATAGTATTTGGCAAAATAGCTTCATCAATTGCTCACGAGGGAGAGAGTTGGGATAAACTAATATTTTTAGTTTCATCCCAACTCATGTCTCTGAGAGGAGGAGAAAAACAACTTCACCTATGAAACTGTTTTGGAAATGAGTATTTGGCAAAAAAAAAAAACAACAACTCATAAAGGCCCTAATATACAACTATTGAGCCTTCAGCATTTTGCTTCCCTACAGTGACAAAAACTTCACTGGTAAATTAGGATCTTGTGGAGGTTTCATTTTTCAAATTCTCAACCATGAGTCAATTATTGGACAACTCTCTAGTCTGTGATACCGACATGGTAACCAAGTCATTGCCACCATGGTACCCAAACGCTATCATTTTCACCTAAACACAAAGATAATTTTTACAATGGTTGTCGAAAAATGGACGGCTCACGAGGACCGATCCAACGGCTAAAAAGGCAGAGGAACCAAAAGAAACTAATTTGAGAGGCACCGGGAGAAACTAAGTGCGTACTAAATGGTGTGACCATACGCACCGGGTGCATACTAAAATTGGCGGGATCAGCACCCGACAAAAAGGGGAGAAATTTCTATTTTCAAAAAAAATTTATGTAATTGAGGATAGAATGGTAAATCTATAATAGAAAAATAATGTTTTGGGTAGTACAGAGATGATTGAAGTTGTATAGTCTGTCACGTATAATTCTCTGTCCGACCACACCGGCCTAGCCCTCTCTCAGCCGCTTTGTTCGTGCTGCGGCGGCGGGCGAGGTTGAGGTCGAGGTTGAGGACGAGGGCGATGGCGGCGGCTACGGCTGCGAGGGCGAGGGCGAGGGCAGGGTTGCGGCGGCTAGAGCTCCTCACCAGTCCCCGGCGAATGGCGGCACCGCGTAGATCCAGGTCCGAGGTGGCGAAGCTGGCGGCGGCCTCGCCGTCCCTGGCTCTCGCTCCGCGTGCCGCTTCTCCTCGACTGTTGCCCTTTTTTCTAAAATTGCTAGCAGGACATCTGCCAGTCAAATATGTTAATAGATGAGAGAAAAGAGCCGAAGTACAATCGAAAAGCTGAAAATACAAGAAAAGGCCCAAATGAGGAATTTAGGCCTCAAGGCAAAATAGGTAAACGGCCAGTGTTACTGATGCCTAACTAAGTAACTCCTAGAAGATGGCCATGACAGCAAAAACAGTTAAGAATGAAGCCATTCCATTAAGGGGTTGTGAGTTGTGACAAAGGGCCCTTTAGCAGGAAGGAACATGAAAAACACGGTGCAGGTTCCTTCACCGTCCCAGGTCGGATGCACATGGTAGCTACTAGTTAGTACATGCGCAAGACTCGCCATCTGCCACCGTTTCCTGCTCAACTCCCACGACGAATTTTCAATAGCAAACTTTAAAGCACTAGCATACGTACTAGTAGATACGGGCAAGTTTTACTTTTCCTGGAGCACGGGTGCTATACACGCACATCGCTCGTCGCTGCAGGTGGGCTCACTATGCTCCTGTTCATCTTCGTGCTGACGCCACTGACACTGAGGCTTGGGGAGTGGAGCTGAAGGGATAAGAGGTGTCAGGTCGCGTCCTGGTAGCGGTGGCACAGGCTCACAGCACAGCCGGTGAGCGAACCAAAAATAAATAGTTTCTTGGGCCGAACCCGAACCTCGATACCCAAATAGGCCGTCCACGGGTTCAGTTAGGATCGGCTTTCGGACCCAATTCATCCACCCCTATAGACGACGCAAGAGCCCAAGATTCGGTTCTATAGACTTCTAAAGCCCGATGGATTTGTAAACCCGAAAGGCCCAACATCTTGGCCTAAGCCTGCACCACTAAAAGGCACACAACAACATTTCCTTTCTGTTGAATTCTTTCCCACGTCACCGCACACCTTTTGCCACCTGGGTTGCGCATGCGTCGCCACACCACTCGGCTCTCTGCCTGTTGCCCTGTCCCTGCTCGGTTGACGGCTGCTCCAGTGCTCCTCAGTCCCCACCATCAACGACCACCACGATAGCGTGCTCGACGCCCACGTGCCAACATGCTCCATGGCTCACATGACAATGGCGGCCGCAACCGCAACCGCAACCAACGCAACCACGAGACCGAGACCTCGACTATGCATCCACAAGGCGACTATTGGCGACAATCCTCCCATGCGCATGATGCGCCCTCTAGTCTCGGCGGGCAATGGCTAGATGAAACCACATCAAACCCGGCTTTGCGGGTAAACGAATAGAGTATAAGAGCTTGTTTGTACGCCAAACCACTTCAACACACAAAAGTTGAGGTGGATACATGACATCCAAACAAGGTTTAAGAGTTTGTTTGATCGATGGAGCTATTAACTAGCTAGTAGCTACTAATAATTAGGTTTCTAATATAAATAGATCTAGCTAATTGTTAGTTGAATGCAATCCAACAACTACCTTATTAGTTGGGAAAACCAGCTAATAGTTAGTTAGCTAATATTAGCCATGAATTATTAGCAACTATTTAATCTAAAAAATGAATTATTAGCACCTAATGGATTCAAACAGGATCTAAGCCAACTTTTAGCATTCGTCCTTATTAATTTTCTAATAATTTTGGTCCACTTTTTTGGAAATCAAATTTCCAAAAACTGAATAGACCGAATTACCCGATTGGATGCCCAATGCAACCTGCCAACCATAATTATCTCAATGTCTTTCGTGTTAGTTACAAATCCCTTCCTCATTTCCTCATGGCAATTGCTCCACGCAGTTTCCTTGCCATGGAGTAACTATTCCCTAATAGCTAAAGTTTAGGGCACGATACAAATCTGTCTTGTTTTGCTTTTTTTAAGTGCCTCTTTCTTTGCATTGGAAAGAGGTCCGGGAGCAGAGGGAGCGACGGGTTCAGCACTGCCAATCTTGCCTTTTGACTTGATTTTTTCATGCATCTTTAATCTGAATCTTTGACTTTTGCCAGTGAAACAAAATAACGACCGAGATAGACACAATACCTACAAATAATAATAAACACGAGATGGAGTGCTCACAAAAGGCCAAACAATTTGTGAAAATTTATGTAAGTAGAAAAGGTAGTAACAAGAACCCATTGAAATTCAATACAGTCAAAATTGTGGGTTATTTTTATAAATTATGTGTTTCTATGCTTGACGAAGTTCTTGCCAGTTGCTTTCTGAAACTTTGTGCTCTCGTGTCTGATTTCACTCAATTATGCTAAAACAGATCTTTTTGTAGAGCCAGAGCAATTTTTTTTTCTTCAAAATGCTCACTTTCGAAAGCTAAACAAAGTTCAATCCACCAACTCCTCTCTATGTACAAGTCGTCTAAGTAATGTGTCCAAAAATTTATATGTAAGGCCTCAAGAGTAACACTCCTTCTGTGCTGTCACAACTCACGACTAAGACTAACCAATGGACTCAGAATTCAGAAATAAGGCAACAGCGCCTTCACCGGCGACGACATGCAGCAATCACCGCCTGGACGGCGCGGCAGCGTCGGCTTTCTTCCCCTTGGCGCCGGGGCCGCCGGGAGTCCGGTTGTCAGGCTCGGCGTGCGCCTGCACGGCCCGCCTGAGGACCTCGACCACCTCGCTCATGGTGGGCCGCTCCTTGGCGTTCTTGAGCAGGCAGCTGTCGGCCAGCTTGGCGATCTCCCGGGCGGCCTTCACCGAGTACTCGCCGCGGAGCCTGGGGTCCATGATCACCCGGAAGTTGCGGCTGTCCGGCGGGAACTGGACCACCCACTCCAGCAGCTTCTGCTCCGCCGCCGGCTTGTTCCTATCCAGCGACCGCCGCCCCGTCAGGATCTCGTACAGCACCACGCCGAAGCTCCACACGTCGCTCTTCGCAGTCAGGTGCCCTGAGTCTATGTACTCCGGTGCTGCGTACCCCTGCGTCCCGACGACCTGTAACACCACATCACGCGACAGAGCTGTCAAAACCGAAACAAACCTGCGGTAGTAACTTTCAGGGGCGTGCAATCATGAATCATGCTTATGCAATCAAGCGCCACATTGACTGTTTGATGCTATCTTCAAGCCCTGCGTCAGCATGGCGCATAGTGCAATTGTTCAGTCCCATACTCCCATGACAGTGCCGTGCATGTGACGCATTACGCATAGAAAAAAGCGAAGGCACCATTGACAATGGAAGCCCAGGCTCGTCCGTCAGCTGCGCGTAGATCGAGCAGGTACACTGCATTGCTTACGTATCCGGTCAGCAACAGTAAATGCCCGGCTACCAACTACTACGAGTAACAAACAAACTTGTAGGACTAGTACGTTATCTTCAGTGCCTGATCCTGATTCTAATTGATGGATGCAACGTACCGCGGTCGAGACGTGAGTGTTTGCTCCAGTTGGCCCCTCCCTGGCTAGGCCGAAGTCTGATAGCTTCGCTCTGAAGTCCTTGTCCAGTAAAATGTTGGACGTTTTGAAGTCCCGGTAGATCACCTGACCAAAACGCAGAATTCAGGTATTGAGATAAGGATTACCTTTTCTGAATGAAAAACTTGAAAACAAATAAGAACAGTATTGTAGCACACGTTATGAAACAATGGCATGACATAGTCATAACACTACTAGTATGTGATATTTTGATCTTGCTTGATGGCTCATATGCTGCACAATAGTCAGCTGGAGAACTGGTGCCAGGCCAGGCTGAAATGTTTGGTACAAACAGCAGAGCTAGAAGAGAAATTGGCTACGGTGGCTGCATGTCATAGCCTTGAACATTGAACTGTGCTTTCCGGAAATGTCAGAGTTGGCTTCCTTGGAATCTTTGGGGAAAGTAGTCAGGATGACTTTGGCTAGTTAGGAAGCTTTTCCATTTGAAAAACCATGGAAGATATGCTATCCTTGTTCACAAAAAGAAAAGAAAAGATATGCTATCCTTTGGAGGTAAATTGAAAACACACAATCAGTGTAGGTTTGAAGAACACCTGATTACCTGAACTTCTACCCCTTCATGCAGGTAAGCCAATCCTTCAGCAGCTCCCAAGATAACCTGAAGCCTTCTGTTCCACGATAGAGGAGGATTAGCTCGCCTGAACAAGTGGTCTTCCAAGCTCTTATTGGGCATAAACTCGTAGACCAGCAATCTTTGTGCCCCTCTTTCGCTATCAACAGCACAATATCCAAGTAGCTTTACAAGATTTGGGTGCTCCAGAACACCAAGAAACTGTACTTCTGCCAACCATTGCTTATGTCCCTGTCACAATAAAATTAAAAGAAACTGCAGACTATTAGAAAACTTAAGAATGATGTATAGAAGGATAGTATAACCATATATAGATTTCATGAAGAAGTAAGTAAACAGGTAGGGAACAAAGATTTCCTGATAGTCTAAGAACACTAAGTAGACTATGGCATTAACCACTTCTAATATTGCATTTGAGCGCATTTCTTCCCAGACTAGCTAATTCACATTCTGATATGCCAATTAGTACAGGGAGGTAATATATATAGCACAAGGCATCGTATTCCTAAGGCAATCCATTGGTTGATTCAGTCCAGACAGCAGCGTCAATTGGAACTAACACAGGTGGAATCAGCTTCCTGATAAAAAAAAATATATATCTTTAGCACCTAAAACGGCATCATTACTTAAATTCACTATACTGCATAAATCCAAGAATCCACTTTGTATTGCTGAAAAACTTCTCAATATGCAGAGAAAAAAAGCAACAAAACAAATTCGCTACTGTCCCCAAATCAATACCATACATACCTGGTATATTTACTTTTTATCAGTGATCATTCACAAAATCAGGAGTCCATCATTCACAATTATAAACGATGGATAAAATGTGTTGTACAAAATGATAGCTGACTTTTCTTTGCTAGTTGGCATGCAAAGATTTGGTAGTGGTCAACTAAGATTAGTATCATGAACGTACAGGTTGGCCACCAAAGAGCCCCATTCTATCCAGTGGTCTCCTTTGATTGAGCAAATTCAATAGTGATTTTTTGAATACAGCTAGAAGGTTGGTTGACATCGTTTTCTGGACATCATATTTCTCCTCTTGAACATGTAAACGGCCATCCATGGTTTTTATGCTTACTGCAAGCTCTTTTTTGTATGATTCCAAATATTCAACATTCAGATTTGTCAAAGTAAACTTTGTTGTCTATAGTTGGAAGGTTACAGTTAATCAAATAGTTATTTCTGTACTTACCCTCCGCTTAGCTTGTTTTATGAACAAAGGAATATAACTCCTATAACGTGTTTTTGATTCCTGTTAACATTGCATACAGCAGGCAGCCAGCTAATCAGGAATTGACTATTTGCAACTGAACAATTACAAATGTCAGCTGAAAAGGACTGACATTATTATGAAATTTACTAATCCCCATCGATGGGCTCATAAACTCTATATATGCTTTCACTCGGAATCCATTCGTACTAAAAAATGTTAGTTGGTCTTAACGTGTACCCATGGTCCAACTGCAAAAGCAACATAAGTGTACTAGTCAATGACTATATGTCTATATTGGATCCTTGAAAATTCTTCATTGCCCCTTGTCTATATATCTAATGAAGTCCAAGCATCCTAACAATGCATACTGTATCAACAAGCACCAGATCACAAAAGTCCATAAATCTGGCAAAACTACACATTGCTGTTGCAGATAAACAGATTGAAAACAGAAAGAAAAAAAATCTGCAAGTTCCATAAAAGCTAAACCTGTTATGAGCAGATTCCACGTGTTTTGTCATTTTCTCAATGCTATGCTACTGTTTCACTCAACAGCATATATAAAGGAAAACATAAATGAACCCCCCTCCCCTCTTTCGTTTTCGGAAAACACGGTAGTAGAGATCTGTCCCATTCTAATTCCCCGCAAACCATTTCTCTGATCCTTCCCAGTCCTCCGAAAAACGGTACACTGAAAGGCTACCGATATCAATACCGTAAATGTAGCATCCACTTCTGAATTTTGTTCTCTAGCTACACAGATTATCACGGGAAACATAGCAGGCAGTTTCGTTTCAAAAACAGAGAATAGCAAACTGTTGTGGAGAACCGAATCACCGACGGAATGTGAACGCCCTCGGAGATACGGCCAGAGAGACGGCAACAAGAGGAGTGATGTATCAAGGACAAGCAGAGCAGACGTACGGACGGACCTGCATGCCACGCTGGTTGAGCTTCTTGACGGCGACGGGGACGCGGTCCCCCTTGCCGTCGGCGGCGCGGATGAAGCCCTTGTAGACGCTGCCGAAGCCGCCCTCGCCGAGCTTCTGCGCGCGACTGAACTCGGCGGTGGCGCCCTGGAGCTCCTCGTAGTCGAACACCCGGAGCTGGCCGTGGCCCCGCTCCTCGTACAGCGACGAGATGCTCCGCTGCGACAACTGCGACGAGCCGGCCGACCCCGCCGACTTGCTCACCGGCCGCACCGCGCCCGAGTCGTCCGACCGGCTCGTGCTCACCGCCGACGCCGTCGTGTGGTGGTCGTCGTCATCGTGGTCGCGGGGCCCGACACCGACGCCGGCGCCGGCGCCCCTCGCTTCCCCGACGACGACGACGATCCCCCCGCTCCTGGACCTCCGCCGCTTGAACCAGCCCAGGCAGCTCATGTCCCCCGCACCCGGCACAAGCTATAACAGCAGCTCCGCAACCGCAAGACGAGCAGCTTCTCGCGCCGCGGTTACCTACAGCCGCGCTAGGAGAAGAGCGTGCCGTGCCACTCCTGCCTCTTGGGGAATCGGAGGTTGTGACGCCTCTTGTAAGACGCGACGTGGGGCAGAGAGGGCAGTGTGAACGTCGGGAGGAAGGGGGAGCAGTGGGGGACAGCGGAAGGTGGGCACGGCCCGCGGCTCGTACTTGCGTCGCGCGCAGCTGGCTGGGTTGGGTGGCCGTGGCCGTGCGGTAGGGACTAGGGAGGAGGGCGCGCGTCCTCGGCCCGCTACTGTACCCCGGCCGTGCGGGGGCGTTTCTGCTGGCTCGTCGCGTCGGGTTGCGGGGCAACGCGGTGTGGACGTGTGGGGTGGGATGGCGACGGCTCTCCGGGCCGAACGGGGACGGGAGCGGATCGTCAGCCTGTTCGCTTGCTCGTAAACGATCGTAAATTTCTAACCGGGAATAGTGTTTTTCTCTCACACCAAACCGGCCAGCAGTAAATAATCCACGATACGATACGGCCTTCCGAACAGGCTGACGCGTATCGTGCTCTCGGTCCGCCGCCGGTTGGCTGGTGCTCTCGCGACAGCTTCTGTTGCCAACCGCAGGGGCTTTCGTGGAAGAATCACACGAAACGGTTCTCCAGTCTTTGCTCCGTTCGCTCGTTTATAAGCCGTAATTTTTCAACCAACAAATATTATTTTTCTCTCACAACAAATCAGCCAACCGTACTTCAGCCATGCCTTATCAGCCATTTTTCCGGGATCTCATGGTGAGCTGACGGTTACCACCTGCTTCCAGCTAGCCGAGACAAGTACTCCCTTGCACATTGGGTCCGTTCTGACTTCGGTGACGCCTGAGTCCTGACCCAGGGAGTTCCAAGTTCCGTGAGGACGCTTTCGAGAAGTGGGAACTCAACTCATGTACCTGAAGGACCTAGAACTGGTTTGCAAGTGGAGATCAGATGACTATCCTGATAAGTGATAAGATATCAGTTGGAAATGACAGAAAAGGAAACATAATTTGTTGACTCAATCATTAACTTTCGGACTCCAACTAGCCAGAGGTACCAATGTTTGTAACAAACAAAATAAAAGCACGTACAAAGTAACAGAAGGAACTTTTCTTGTTGGGTAAAATTGTGCGACAATCAAATTTTAACCTAAACTATGAAATTATGTTTGAAATATGTTTGAGAGGGTGCTCTCCATGCTTGCCACGCGGTAACCTAAACTATGAAATTAGGTATTAGGTACTATATGCCCTCCAACTATTCAAACTAAATCTATTTAGTCAAGTAATAATTGATTTCAAAGGTAGGTTATCTATTTCTAAAAATAATAAAAAACTACTTTAATCTCCAAAAGTTCATGACTAATATATTGTAATTTTTTTTTAAAAAAAATAATTTTCTTTTAAAAATGTTACTCTAATATATTGTAAATTGTTTTTTTAAATACTAATTTTCTTTTAAAAATGTTACATATATCTATCTATAGTTGTTTGGAACTTATTTATTTATTTATTTATGTTTGTAGTCATGCTTATTATTTATTTGAGTTATCATTTTGCAATAATCAGAACTAAAGATCAACTAATAGGATCTGGCAAACTATAAGTACATAGAAAGATGTGAAAGACGACGTCAACTTCACAGATGTCATGCTCCATCATAGGTATAGATCCTATGTAGGCAATGCATTGCTAGCGCTTTATTTTATATTGATCGCCAGATTAGATTATAGGTTTCAAACAAAGTAGTACCTCAAACATCATGTGGTCAACACAAAGCAGTATGGCACAAAACAATAATTTAAACAAATAATAGACATGACCACAAGCAATAAAACACTAGAAACAAGAATAAATATGATCAACATAATTCTATAATAGACCACTAACAAATATACAAGATTTTAGTAAAAAAAAAGGTATTAGCTTCATTTTTCTAACTCTAGATAAATTAGTTATGATTTTTTAAAGATTATAATTGACTGTTGTTATTTTTAGAAAATAGAAAATCACCTCGAAATTAACTAGAGAACAAATCTGTCTAGTCTCAACACACTGCCTGATGGTGAAGATTGTAAGCCAACATTTCTTGAAGGTTTCCTCTAGCCAATGTTTTTTTAGTGAATACTAGATCTCGTTGTCAGGAGCGTGTGACTTCTTCGGTCTTCAAAGACTTTGGCGAGGATGTTTGCAGGTGTCCCTTTTATTTGCTATCTTCACAATGCGATCGTCAAACTCCGACGGGCAGTGGACGTTCGAAGAAAGAAGAAGACCGATTTAGTCTTTGATGTACTCTTATTTTTTAGAGGTTGTCTTGTGTCTTATTATCCATCGCTCGTACCGGTCTTTGTTTTTCTTGAGATATATTAAATGTGATACTCTTTCGAATGTCTTTATAAAAAAGCAATAGAAAATATCCAGCCCCGTTTCCATAGTTCAAAGTTCAAAATCGAAATACCGTGCATGTTGAAAAGCGTAAGATACCAGACATTACCCTTTTTCTTGTTTGGTTGCGCTTGGCATCACCTCGCGACATATCTTGGACTTGCTTACGACTTTCTGTGGTCACATGGCATGCATGATAAATGTTCCAAATGCACTTTCCGCAGATCTTAACGCAGTTTAGGGTCTGTTTGGTTCCAAATAAGTCACCTATTTATAAGTTAAAAAGTGAAAAATGTGACTTATTTTGTCAAACACCACCAACTTATAAGTCACCCCTGCTTATAAGTTTTAAGTTGGTTCACCCATGCTTAAAACTTATAAGTCACCCTTTTTAGCGTGGGGCCCACACCTTTAATAAGCTTATAAATCATCTACAACCAAACAGGCATAACTTATAAGTCACTGGTTTTCAATCACCTGACTTAATAAGTCACCTGACTTATAGAAACCAAACATGCCCTTAATCAGCTTTTTTTCACGTCACCTGCTGCACTAACGTGTGCGCTTTTTTAGAGTTTAGACCATGCAACAAAACCGTTTTCTCCTCCGCTTTTCCAGTGGACTAAAACTAACGTAGAGAGAGAGAAGGTGCAGCCGGCAGCCTGTGCGGCTACCGGGCACCACCGGCCAGTCCTGGTTCCTGATCAGATGACCGATCTCTCCCCCTCCTTGTCCTGGAGAGAGCAGTTGACGACGCCAGAAAAAAATTTAGGAGGGGCTGAATAAAAGAATAAAGATTTTTTTATCTTCTCTTAACCTTAGCCCCTCCTACCTAATACATGTATGCATAAAATTTTAAGGAGGGACTTAGGAAAACTCCACGTGCTCAGGATGGGTAGGGGGGGCTGAAGCCCCCCTAGCCCCACCGCTGGCTACGTCCTTGGGAGAGAGGAAGACGATGTTGACACCTCTCAACTCTGGACGCGTCTTCCCGGTCAAAGCACAGCAGCACACGGCATATTTATGGGTTTGGAAACTGGAAACATGGCATGGGAGTAGGAGTACGACGAGACGGATGACGAATCGAGGTTGTGTTTGGAATATGGGAATTTTTTTCTAAACCTATGTTTTTTCTGTAAAATTGAATTGATTTCTATAAAACTTCTGCACGATTCCTGTGAAATTCCTACATTCCTGACAGCCCTGGAGAGGTGAAGCGTTCAATTCAAGAGAGAATTCCTTATTTGACACCAGACAAATGACCCGTTCCTTTCTTGGCCCTCAAAAAAATTTCGTTCCCTATTTGACACCGAGTTCAACTTTCATTCCTTATACGACACTCCGTTGAATTTACCATCCGTGAACCATTAACTGCCATGTGAAAAGATTTATTTTGACCTGTGGGGCCCCACCACCTCTTCTCCTCCTCTCTCTCCCTCTCCTCCCTCTGCGCTGCAGGTATAAAAGCGGCCGACGGCGGTGGAGAAGGCAGCGTCATCAGCCTTTCCCGCCGGCCCCTCTGCCATTGCTGGCGGAGCCCCCCTCCCTCCTCCGACGAGCAGCCGCCACCCCTCCTCGAGGAGAGGAGAGAGGTGAGCTTGCGCGAATCCGGCCACGAGAGTGCGTCGCCGCACGCCGACGGAGAAAGAAGAAGCGACAGCGCCGCCAGGGCCACCACCGGACCGGAGCCAGCAAGGGGGAAGAGGAAGAGGCGACCACGCATGGCAAAGGGGCTACGACGGCGAGCAGCCAGCACATGATGAGAGAGAGAGGGAGCAGGGGCCAAGCAATGGGCGGCGTGGCGAGCCGGCACAGCTCCTCCGGTGACCATACCTGCGATGGCGCGTGAGGCGGCCGTCTTTGGCTGGGGCTGTCGCTGGGGGCCACCACCCACGGTCGCCGGTCGCATGCTAGGGCCCGACGCAGCTTCGACCCGCCCGTGCTAGGGGTTGCCGCTCCAAGGCCGGCCACGTCGAGGCTTCCTTGTGGCGCCGGTCTTGTTGCCCGAGAGGGGGTCATGCTGCTGCCCGGGCGGCTCCTCCCGCGTGGGTGGCCACGTCGGGAGGGAGAGAGAGAGAGAGAGAGATCTTGCGCCTGGCATGGGGAGGGAGGCGGATAGCGGGCCATGGCACCCATGGTTGCTTAAGACCGGTGGGGTCCGGCCACACCGGGAGGGCGGGCGGTCATGGGGCCCGGCCACATGCTACTAGATCTGGAGGAAGAGGAGAGAGAGGGAGGAAGAGGAAGAAAGGGGCGTGCTCCAACGTCTCTGCGGACACATCGGGAGAAAGGGAGGAGAGGAGGGAGAAGGGGGTGGGGCCCACAGGGGCAAAATCGTCTTTTCACATGGCAGTAAATGGTTTACGGATGGAAAATCTAACGGAGTGTCGTATAAGGAATGAAAGTTGAAATGAAAGTTAAAAGAGAACGAATTTTCAAATAGAGGATCATTTGTCGGAATTTTTTAGGGCTAAAACAAGAATGGATCATTTGTCTGATGTCGAATAAGAATTCTCTCTCAATTCAAAGGTTATGGCGCGCGGGTGGTGGGACCGTGGGA